ATTTTGACTGAACCGCGAAATTTTCCCGAAAATTGGTGCTTCGGGAGGTCGACTCAACCGCGACTTTTGGCAGAACAACTCGCATCGCAATGCCTGATTTGGGGGTACCCGAATTTTAGGACAACGGGATGCTTGTCGAAAAAGTGGGCGCTACGGTCGGAAACCACGTATTTATAGCCGGGATTAATGCAATATACCAGTAGTACCGCACAAGGCGGTGGCGGAAGTTTCAAAAATAGGAAACCTACAGGAGAGATTGGTTAATGTGAATCCGGGATGGCAGAGCGAATCCATTGATGGACCGTAAGGTGCTTGAGGTCTCCTCTCTTTCTCCTCTTTCTCTCTCTTTCTCTGACTATCTACCTACCTACCTATCTATCTTCTATGTATCTATCTATCTATCCATCTATCTCTCTCTCTCTTTCATCTAATTACCTATCTATCTATCTATCTGTCTGTCTATCTATCTATCTATCTATCTCTCTCTCTCTATCTCTCTCTCTCTTTCATCTGTCTATCTGTCTAGCTGTCTAGCTGTCTACCTGTCTATCTGTCTATCTATCTATCTGTCTATCTGTCTACCTGTCTATCTGTGGTGCAGTGTCATTCAGCATAATGTAGTGTAATGTAGTATAGTGTAGTGGAATGTAGTGGAATGTAGTGTAGTGTAGTGTAATGTAGTGGAAGGTAGTGTAAGTGTAATGTAGTGAAGTGTAGTGGAAGGTAGTGTAGTGTAGTGTAGTAGAGTGTAGTGGAGTGTAGTTGTAGTTGTAGTTGTAATGTAGCAGAGTGTAGTGTAGTGTAATGTAGTGAAGTGTAGTGGAAGGTAGTGTAGTGTAGTGTAATGTAGTGTAGTGTAGTGTAATTTAGTTTAGTGGAGTGTAGTGGAGTGTAGTGGAGTGTAGTTATAGTTGTAGTGTTGTGGAGTGTAGTGTTAGTGTGATGGTGTGTAGTGGAGTGTAGTGTAGTATAATATAGTACATTGTAGTGAAGCGAAGCGAAGCGATATTTGGACCTCTAAAAGTGGTCCGAACCTTGGTGGTTTTAATATTTTGATTTCGAAATATATTTTGTGCGATAACGGCATGTAATTTGTCGATATCTCGACCTCTAAAAATGGTGTGAACGTGTGGTACTTTGAACATGTTGATTTCCAAATATACTTCGTACTACAACGGCGTGTATTTTTTCGATATCTTAACTTCCAAAAATCGTCCGACACTGAGGTGTTTTATACATTTTGAGTTGGAAATGTGATTCGCGCTACAACGGCATATATTTTTTCGACATCTTAATTTCCAAAAGTGGTCCGAGAATGGTGTGTTTTGTACATTTTGACTTGGAAATGTGTTTCGCGTCATAACGGCGTATATTTTTTCGACATTTTAACTTCCAAAAGTGGTCCGGAGCTGAGGTGTTTTGTATGTTTTGTACATTTTGACTTGGAAATGTGCTTCATACCACAATGGCATCATCTTTTATCTGGCCAATTGGCTCCGCACCCGCCGCTTTAGCGAACCTACTTTTCGACCCTGCGGAGCCACAAATTATTGGAAGAACACAATAATTCGTGACTTTCCTACCTTTTCACGCATCTGTATCTTCTTTCTTCTGACTCTTTCTCTTCTCTAAACTTCTCTCTTCTAATCATTCTCTTCTTTCTGTCTCTGCCCTGCTCTGCTCTTTATCTGTCCATATTGTCGGAAATTTGATTTTTAAATTTCCTTTAATTATATAATTATATTTTAAGCAGGTAAATTGGCCGGAACTTTTGGACGAAACCTCTAATTTGCACGAAAATTTGAAAATTTCGGAATTTCCTAAAGCGACAAATTTTCTGACATATTGGTGCTACGGGATTTTGATTCAACCGCGAGATTTTCCCGCAATTTGCTGCTTCGGGAGTTCACCTCCATTTTCTTTTTTTTTTTATACCGGATATTCTCTAATATATATACCTTGAAATTCATACTACCAAAATATTTTGGTCGTTTGTATCGGTACTATTTTGTTTGGTCGGTTGTATCGGTACTATTTTGTTTGGTCGGTTCTTCGAAAACCAGGCGTTTCACAAAAAACACATACGAACTTGATGAAAAGTAGGCGATATGCGAAGAAAATAGGCGATGCGTCTGGCCTTCCATTGGTTCTACCTTAAATCCAGGTCACTCCTGCTTGTTTACGTGGGTGTTATTTCTGACTCCTATACTGACTACTTTTTATCTCGATGCCTTTCAAAAACTACTACGGAACTAGCTACTATGTGTAAACACAAGCCAAAAAACCCAGTTTTCTGGATTTGCGGGAGTTTGCGGGTTTTTGCGGGCGTTTTGCGGATTTTTGCGGGATGTTTGCGGGGCGTTTTGGTCGTGTTTTTTTGTTTTTTGCAGATTCTGTGTAAAAGTGCTTTGCACAGAAAAAGTAGGCGGGGTTGCGGAGTCAGACCTGCATACCCAACTCCAATGCACTACTCTGGCAGCCTCAAAAAATCCTACTTACATGCGCGGGAAACGGGAGGAAAATATCATAAAACATTCAAAATTATCCAATTTCCATGGTTTTTGGGCGTTTCAGTTTTTGATAACGATTCAAAAAAAAACAGGCGATTTCAACCATAATTGGTAAACAACCAAAAGGGTCAAAATATATTAGGTGGTTGAAAATCCAGGTATATATATATATTATTATTTTACCTATTATTAAACACCCTGTTATTCCTATAAAATAAAAACCAAGCCTGACACTAACAAACCATTATAAAAATAAATAAATATATAAATACATAATATATACACTACAAAATAAAATACTGGATCCTAGTAATCAAGGAAAAAACATAGTTAGCTAGAGACATGCTACCAAAACAAGCGGAGCGCTCACGACTCCTATTTTTGTCTGTGACGAGTGGTGCAGTCTCTGTACAAACCACTCACCCAGAGAGACTTGCCAGCCGACATTCTGTCAGCGGCATATCCCCCCGAAATAGGCATGGGCATCCGCCAAATAAAAATCTACAATGGACATGCAAAAGAAAACCCACATGGTATCGACCGTGAAACAAAGAATCAAGGCTGCCTCAGACATTCCCCGTCTCTCAGTAGGCAACCTGTACGTTGAAGCCTCCATGGAACACGGATGAATGCAGAATTGCCACGGCAAAGTCTCACTGGTTCCACTGTCGATCCTGATGGTTTCCATAGTCATAGCTGGACCAGCCATCTTGGTTGCTGCCTCGTTGCCCATCTCTGGTCCAGTTGCCCCAGTCGTCATCGTCTGCGGCATTTGCATCTCTCCGTTGTGTGACATCTGGTTGATGCCGTTGCCACTCACTGCTGCGTCTCGCTTGCCAGTCGTGCCATTGACTTCCTGCTTCCCAGTTGGCCGTGCTTTCAGTTTCAGCCTGGTTGGATGCAGCAGCTGGAGCAGCTGACTGGCGAGGTGGTGGAGTGCTGCGTGATCTATCGGATCGATAGTTGGCCTTTGTAGCTTTTCGGCGGGCCCGCTCCTTGTTCTTCTCTTCGAGGAAACCCGGCTTCAGGACTTGCTTGGAATACCCATGTGACCAGGATTTCGGGAAATCCTCAAAGGAGGCACCCTCCATTTCAGCCAAGGCTCGCTGATGTCGGGCGGCCCGTTGCCGGCCCTTTTGGCGTTGTTTGGCCTCCGCATAGGTGAAAGCCATCCTTGAGATCCTTCTCGAATTTGCCTGGGTGCATTTCGGGCAGTGGACGAGTGCTGAACTCAAAGTTGAGCTCCTCCAGTTTGCTCTTGCACCGCTTCCATGCTTGGGAGCGAAGCGTCTTCCTCATCTCTGGGGGTGCTCGCAGGAAAGCTTCCACTTTCGTCTTGGTCTTCTCGAGCAGCTCCTCATCTTCTGCCTTCTCCTCAGGGGTTCGATCATCGTCATCACCATAGTCGACTTCAGACTCGTCAAACCCAAAGTGGTTCACCCCAGTGGGCGGAGCGCCCTCAGAAGATGATGCTGTTGCGCCTGAACCGAGTCCCATAGCTCTTGCCGGCATGGCATAGTTGGCTGCTGGCAGTGGCGGAGGGGGCTTCTTTGGTGCTGGTGTCTTCTGCATCAGCACTGGAGGAATTGGTTTGGGGGCTAGGGCTTTCGGCGGCTCCTTTGGCTCAGGTACCTGTTCTGGATGAGCTGGCTTTGGAAGTGGCGGCGGAGCCACCTTTGGGGAGCCGAAAGCATGGGAGGCTTAGGAGGTGGTGGCTTCTTGAATTCGACACCTTTTGTCCCTGCCATTAGCCATGCTTTTGCGCTGGGATACATTTTTAGAAGCCCCGGATGGTCTCCCAAACATGCCTCCCGGACCTCTTTTGGGACAGAAGTCATAGGTGGAGCACCTTCAATCAGCATCTTGGCCCGTCCTCTGTTCACGAAATCCATGAACTGGAGCAGTCCTTGCATCACGGCTTGATCGAAGGTTTGGAAGACTTGCTCAGACCCGGTCCCCTCCTCAGGGAGCTCTTCCCATGCCGGCTCGTCCCAATCATCTTCATCGAATTGGTGGTCTTGGAGGATGTCCATGTCATCGTCTTCAGCTTCCACCTCAACATACACATAGTCATCCTCGTTGTCTGGGACGGTGCTCTCCGGTGGAAGGTCATCTTCGACCCAAGGCTCAGACCCGGGCTCCAACCAGCTCGAAGGGGCCCTATATCTGGATGACGTCTCTGACCACCAAGACTCAGACGGAGCGTCTGATCGTTTCACCCCTGCATCTGCCAGTGCGATGCGAGGAACTCGCAAATCGCCCACCATGCCCCCTCCAGTGTATGGTTGGGTCGCCCTGGGGAAATGCTTGGCCGGTGTTGGCGGTGCTCCCTTTGGAATAGCTTGCGTGGGTGCCATTTTTTGCATTGGTGGGGTGGTAGGTCCTCTGGGCCTCCCATCATCATTTCTTGGTGGCGGTGCTTTCCTTGGCTTCGCACTTGAGCTCGGAGTAGGCGGATTCGCGGGCGGTGGAGGTTTCCTTGGCTTTTGCGCGGTCCCTGCTGGAGCAGGAGGGGCTTTGGCTGGGGGCGGTCCTCCTTGCGCTCCTCCTCCAGGATATCCCTGTGAAGGGGGGGGCGGTTTACGAAGCACCTCCCGGCCTGCTCCTCCCGAGCTGCTGGCTCCTGCGCCAGCAGGAGTGGAGGACCGATCAAAACTTGATCTGGCTTGTTGGAATGATGAAGCTTGCTTGGCATAGACACCAGCTGGAACAACTGGGGAACGGCCTCGCCCATGCTTTGCAGCAATTTGCTCTTGTCTCCACCTCATGTATTGAGTGGCCATCAGTGGATCCAAGAGGATCTCTCGGACCATTCCCAACATCTTAAACTCCTCTCCTTTGGCTTTCTGGACATCTTCCCCAGCAGTTGCAAAGCGGTCTGGATGAGTCTCACGGGACCTGCGACGATATGCGGTGAGCACCTGAGCTGGAGTCGCACCGGGTGGAACACCCAGGAATTGATAAAGATCTAGTCCTGGGTGAGCTGCTACAAAGAGGTTCGCTGCATTGGCTCGATCTGGAGCTGCTGGCTTTCGTCCCCCATCGGCACTTTCATCAGTAGCATCCATAGCACCAGCCTTCACTGCAAACGATACCTTACGATCTGGTGCCCACGAAAATGCACGATTGGTGTTTGAACCTCGAGGAGCTCTGGATGTTCGCTTCGTGGCAACTGGGCTGCTAAAAGGGTTTGATCCTCCATGACTGTTATGGAATAACTCATCTTGAGGGATCCCCAATAAACCAGGATAGGACTCTTGGGGTTCAGTTGGAACAACCGCTGGATGCCTACGGACCCCGGGGTCTTTTTGGCTGGGGAGTGTAATGAGGCTGGTACCCAACATCCCTTCTGAAATCCCTTTCTGAGCGGTATGATCTTTATAAAGGTAAGCATGAACAGCATCGGATGACCAACCACCGTACCTCTTAAGCCTTTCTAAGTCCCCAGTACTTGCGAAAATGCAGTGGCTCCCCCCTTACGTAGTGAGTGTGAACCAGCGAGTTCGCCAGGAAACCCGGCGGCCAATGCAGCTATCTTGATGAAATGGGTGATGCCCTCTCTGTCAAGCCCCGTCCCGTCTTCATAGCGGAACAAAGGCGCCTCGTCTTCAGGGCTGCGCCACCGATGGGGCTGTAGGACCTGTAGCGCGGCTAAGGCTTCAACAGGGCAGAGATCTCCACCGGAGCGGTGGTGTGACCGTGTTTGGCCCCTACCATACTGATCGGTTTTTGAAGATCTAATCTGCACTACGACTTCATCGGCCTTGGCGCCTATGGTAGGCTGCCCATGCGAAAAGAAAGCAACATCAGCTGGGCGGAGCGCCCTATTCATGGGGTCTTCTCCATTGATATTGGGCAAGAGTTCACTGGCCCGCATCATGAAAAACCAACCTGTAAGAAGGGCTCCTTTGATCATGGTTTGATCGACAACTGATAAACCGCTACTTTTCAAGTGCTGGACCAACCATCGCAACATGTTGGGGGTAACAGGGAGCTTTCGTTTTGGGGCGCCTTCCCAACGTTGTAGACCCGCAACCGCTGCCCACAACCGAGGTCGCCCGACCAGTGGATCAGGGTATCCTGCCGCAACATGTGCATAACGAATGGCTGACAACCTTTGTCTGACCCCACCTATGGACCTTCCCATGACTTGATGTAGAAATACTACAAACCGAATCAACCTCTGCTCGTCTTCAGTCCGAGCGGAGCGCTCTTCTCCGTCAAGGAACGGGTGAGTGCCCGAGCTGGCATTGTACAACGCCCATTGCTTCCAGCCTGATGCATAGACCCTGCGAGTTGAATCAGCCAGTTTGGCCAAGACAGCTTCCATGGCTACCTGGTCAAGCTCTGCTGTGCTCCCTCCTCGGGGGCGGGGGGTCCCAGTAGTCCCGCCTCTTTTGGATGCGGGCTGGACCAGCCTCTCCACTTCACTGAGTGCTGGCTTCACGGTGGTGCGTTTGCCTCCGCCTGCTTTCGCCTGGGTTGTCGCTCCCACGAGCTCATGAGTGGGTGCCACTGCCACACGTGGCTCTTTCCACGAAGTAAGGAAAAGCTCGGAAGAGGGAGCCTTCGGGTTCCTCCCCCACGCTCGCAGCCAGACCTCTAGTTGCTCGTGGGCTTGGATCTCATCGGGGTCCAGGACTCCTGCCTTCCCATCGGTTCCAGTCAGAGCCTGCATGAGACTCATAGCCACTTGCCAGCCTGGCTCCCGGACTGCAGCTGCTATCATGCGATCCTTTCTCTTCGAGTCGGCGGAACGCCAATCCTCTGCGAGGCCCCCTTGCATTTCCCACACCTCTTCTGGGAGGAGAGGACGGACCAAACCCGTCCCATCTTCCAACAGGGTGCCTCCTGGGATCTTGAGACGCTCACTTGTGAGCCTAGGTCCGCAAGCTGGGCCCCGTGTGCTATGGACCAGGTGCCTGCTGCCGGCGCGCACGTCAACCAAGTGGCCGACTGGTTTTGGAAGCCACTTGTCACCGGTGGTGATGAGGTTTGGTTCTCTCGTAAAAAGGTAGTCGGGCGGGCATAATCCCTTACCTGACTCCTCTGCGGATCGCAGAGGTAACATCTGACACTCGTTGACTTGTGCAACTCGCCATGCTTGAACTCTCTCCTTTTCGTCGGCCGTTCCTCCAAAAAGCCAAAGTCTTCTGGCCCTGGCAAAGAAGCTGCCGTGGTGTGAAGTCTGATAGTCGACCACTTGTGCCTGACCCCATTGAACCTGAAGCTGCATCAGGCGATTTCGGCTGGTTTCAGAGAGCTCCCTGGGCTGGTCAACGATAAGTCGTCCTCTCCAATCAGTTCTGGCGAGGGTTTTTAGAAGGATGTCTGCCTCCCGCCCTTTTGGGTCTTGAGTGAGAACACAGACGATCCAGTCAGCTTGCGCCTGGCTTGCGATCGATCCTCCGCCCTTGGCCCACCCCAGCTCGAACGTCAGTAGTTCCGACCCTAGCCGGATTTGGTGGAATCCCCCTTTGAATGGCTTTGGTTCGATCTTGGCGGGGAAGGCATGCACGGTTTGTTGTTCGTTGGCCAGCTGAATGGCTAAAGCTGCACTCGGGCCCTTCTCCCCTGGTAGCTTCAACGTGGGGCGCATGGCTTCTCGCAGGAGTCCTTCCCAGTCCTCATTGAGCTCGAGGCGGGTCCAGCCACTGCTTTCCATTTCCGCATGGACCTTGTCTTCATCCTCCCTTGTCAGCCAGTCGTTGAGAGTATTGTGGTAGGTACGGACGTACGCTCCATCGACAGTGAAGCTATTCTCCGCTTCGAGCCGCTGGAGCAGCAGCAAGAGCGCCCTCACGTATCTGTTTGAAGCGCGCCTGGTACGTAACCATGCTTTGACATTCATGTTGTCAGTCACATAAAGGATCAATTGACCCTGCCAGGTTTCCTTCCGCGCCGCTGCCAGGACAATGAACGTCAGAAGCTCCATCACTCCGATGATCTCCAAGTGATCTCCGCCCCCTACGACTTCGCTCACGGCCCTGACGTATCTGCTGCTGTCCGCCATGTGGTAGCATCTATCCTTCCAATCAGTGCTTCCGAGCCTGGTTAGCGTGGCATCTCCTCCAATGAATCGGGCCGAAGCGGCCATGCCAGGGAGTGCGACCCTTTCCCTTAACGGCAGGAGCTTGCCGAAAGCTGCTCTGAAACTGGTTCCCCAAGGCTTTTCCATCTGGAGGCGAACCCAATCGAGCGCATCCCAGAACTCAGCCCAGGCAGCCTCTAGCTCACTCTCGGAGCCCCTGGGTTTCACCCATTCATGATCGCCTACTTCCTGCTGCAGGAGCCTGTAAAAGACTGGTAGATAGGGTGCAATCTCGGGAGCGGAGACGGCCCAATACTGCGCTGTCCCTGCCAGTTCTCGGAGCAGCTTGGTACGAACTCGTTGGCACCCCCTTTGAAGCTGAGGCTCTCTTAGGAAATACTTCGCCTTTATTCGCTTCGGTTCCGGGAGGACCACAACCTGTTCTTCAAAGTCTAGGTGGAGGCCCCACAGGAGCTGGGATTTTGCCGGGGTGCCTTCTTCGGCGAGCTTGTCGAGATTGATGGCTCCAGGGCCCCAGACTGATACCATAGCTGCATCCATTGCTGACAGGGATCCCTGGATCCTATTCCCCACTAGTGGCTCTACCACCACGCCGTCATCCATCAGCCATCGGCTGGTGTAGGGAACCACATCGTTGAATTGAGGATGGCATGGTCGGAACGACCCGTGGTGCTTTTGGGCTGCGGTGGCCCATATCACGAACTCCCCTGGCGCTCCTACCCAACCGAACACCATCACCAGACTCAGGATCAGCACACCTAGAATCCTCGTGCAGAATTCAGGGACATCGCCCGGCTTGAGGAAGTGCCACTTAAAAGCCCTTGGCACATCGCGTTTCGCACACCTCTGTGGAACCTTCGGGTGTCGCACCCTCCACCAAAGGCTTTGCCTGACCACTGCTCTGTGCCTAGGCTGAGCGGCGGGTGGGTGGTCGTATTTGGAGCCCGAAGCATTCCTGGCTCGCATATCGTTGATGGGACGACCTTCCGCTGAGATGGTTCTGTCGGGGTTTTGCTTGGGCACTCGGCCGAGAGGGCTCTCGGCCACCTTGCTCTCGGTCAGTATCTGGTCGATTTGCCGATTTTCTTCTTGGTCCTCGGTCTCTGTGGAACACAGAAGTACCGCCCCATAAGATGCGTCTTTCCATGCCTTCTGCAGCATCTCTTCCTCGTGCCCCCTGACGGAGCCGTGGTTTCGGGCCTTCTCTCTCTTGGGGGTACTCTTAGCTCGGCTGGGCACACCCTTGAGCACACAGTCTTTCAAGTATTGCTCGTGTAGGGGGCTGAGCCCTTTCAATGCTCCTTCCTTTGCCTTCTGGAAGTGTTCCCCATACTTCCTCAGCCTCGCTTTGTTGACTAATTCAGCTGCTCTTGGCACCGAGCCGGCGGCCCTCAACAACGCATTTCCTGCCTCTGTGGCTTTTCTCACTGCCTCCTTGCTGTAAGCACTCTGGCATACCTCCAAATATTTCTCAGCAGTGCTTTGGCCATTGGCGTCGTCGACGCTGCCTGCCCTTGTGCCCTGCCCCTCAGCTTGCTTTTCGGGATCGGAAACAGACCCCTCCCCCCCACAAAACGTACAAGGGAAGACCATCTGTTGGAGTTCGCATCCTGAACAGGTGTAGCCATGTGGGAGGCCTGGTCCATCCGCTTGGCCAGCAACCACCGGTGCCAAATGTTGGCCAAGGGTTCGCTCCAACGTATTGGCTGGATCAGCCGGCCAAGGGGGTGCGTCCAGTTCGGTCCAACATTTCTCTAAGGCTTTGAGCACGCTGTGCTCTTGCAGA